TATCGTCTAAGTGCTGCCTGTGGGTCCTGTCAGGCCGGGTTTGGTGATGGGACAGCTCTGAAGAGGGGAACAGAAAAAGAGCTGTGAAATATGTTCTCTCAAATATTTTCTTATTTGAGTTTCAAGTTCTTGGTTTCTCTCTAGGCCAATGCTATATACCCAGGGCAGCAGGACAGTCCTTCAGGACTGAAATTTCTAGTAAATAGCACAATGGCTAGGATAGGCACAAGGAGCCCAGAACCAGAGAAACATGACACCAGGATACAGAAGACAGCCTGCACGTACATGAACCCAACGCCATCCCATTGCTGGGTGTTCACTGAGCATTTTGGGTTTTGCCCCAAGATCCATGGTGTCTACAACAGCTCCCAAAGTCCATCTGAGAGCATCCAATACAAGCAGCAGCAGTCACTGTGAGCTGAGTTTGTATCAGTCAACTGCCTCTCCCAACCCCAACATGCATGCAAACTACACATTTGAGAATATAAAAGGAATGAAAAATCACTGACACTCTGGGGAAGTTCCTGGCTCCCTGACACTTACTGGCTGTTGTTAGGAAGGAGCTGACCAATTTGTGCCTGTCCTTACGAGCTGGATCTGGCAGACTGCTCGGCATGGGTGATCTGTGCTTAAGCGATAACTTTTTGGGAGGTTTGATTTTGTCAAAAGGCTTGTTCTGCCACTGAGATTTCAGCATGCTCTGGAAATGCAGGCTTGTGGGAACATCTGCAAGAAACATAAAATGCTACAGGTTAGTCCAAATACCTGGCCTCTCTAGTGTTCAAGGTCTACACCCCACCCTTCTTTAATTTGCCCAGTGGCCTGACACTTGGCAGGGAAGTGCTATCATATGGAAGATCTGTTTATGTGAACATTACTGAAGGTCATTTTTCTATTTGCAAGCAGGTCACCTGTGCTTTTTACTTTCAAGTCCCAAGGGCAAAGAAACAAAACAAAACACCTTTTTGTTTTGGTTGATGGGAGTTTTTGTTCTTGTATCCTTGTCTGTTGACTTTATTGGTTTGAAAATTAACATCCTGTTTCTATTCTAGAGATTTAAAAGCATATTTAAGCCTACTTCTATCAATATAGAGTTAATCAGGATGCAATTCAACAATATTCACTGTCTATCTTATCAGGCACTGTACTAAGTACTACAGCCTCTCTCCAAATAAGAACTACTACCATTCTCCTTCCTTCTGCTGCCGCCCGGCCAATTCCCATCATGAGACTATTGGGGATTTTTAGCTGGCTAATGTTCAATATCACAAATCAACATCTTTTGAACTGAATTATTTTTTATGTTGTTTCTTATCTTTCCATTTTCTTAGATTTTTCCCAAGAATGTATCCTTGAGTAATTCCTTTAGGAAAGGAATTTCTAGATTTAAACCATTTTCCTCTTAAACATTTAAAGCTATTCTTCCATGTATTCTAATATCCAGTGTTGTCTAAGAGGGAATCATTTTCTTTCTTACTTGGTGGTGGTCTGGTTTTCAACTTTTAAGCTTTTGCAAAAAACAACAACAAAACTTGTGGTATTACACTGACTCTATATAGATCAACTTAGAACTTCTGTCTGTTCTGCCATCAATACTGAATCTTTCAATCTACTGATATGGTCTCTCTCTTTCATTTAGGTTTGTCTTGATTTTCTCTTGGCAGTGTTTAGTAATTTTCGACATACAGGTCTTAAATCTTTGTTAAGTTTATTCCTAAGAATGAATATTTTCTGATGGGCAGAAACTGGAAGAGTCTGCAGGGCTCAGAATAAGAGAGGAAGATGAAGAAAAGTTTGGAACTTTAAGAGATTTGTTAAATGGTTTTGACCAAATACTGATAGAAATATGGACAGTGAAAGCCAGGCTGACGAAGTCTCAGATGGAAAGATAATACCTTTTAAAATTTCCATTTCCAGTTCTTCATTATTAGTACACAGAAATACAATAAATTGCTATATAATGACCTTGTAGCCTGTGAAATTACTTCGTTATAGCTTTCTCTTGTTTATTCAGTAGGATTTTCTACAGACTTAAGTAAATCGTCTACTTTCTCATCTGTTTTATTTATTTTTTTTTGAGATGGAGTCTTCCCCTTGTCACCCAGGCTAGAGTGCAATGGTGTGGTCTCAGCTCACTGCAACCTCTGCCCCCAGGTTCAAGCGAGTCTCCTGTCTCAACCTCCCGAGTAGCTGGGATTACAGACACCCACCACCATGACTGGCTAATTTTTGTATTTTTAGTAGAGATGGGGTTTTACCATGTTGGCTGGGCTGGTCTCAAACTCCTGACCTTGTGATCTGCCCACCTCAGTCTCCCAAAGTGTTGGGATTACAGCCGTGAGCCACCAAGCCCAGTTCCAATCTGTATTCCTTTTTACTTCTTGCCTATTACTCTGACTAGAACCTCTGGTGATACAATTTTTATATTTTTCTTTTTATGTTTTCAATATTCTGACAGTTCACCACCATGGATACAGGTGTGAATCTATTTTCAGGCTTCTTCAAAGCTTTCCAGGAATATTTAAATCTAAAGGCCAGCACATTTTTCCTCACTTCCCAGTTCCTCCTGCTAATCAGTTACCACCTGGGGCATGCTCAAAAGTTCCAGCCAGAGTCCCTCTCCACTGCTTCAGAATAGAATGAAACACCACTACTTGAAGGAAGAAGGCACCGGTGGGGTGAGAGGACAGGAAAGGAAAATCTCACCTAGCTATTCCAAAATGAGTCCAAATTTAATACCCAGACAAATGCCCAGGTCCTATCACTACTCCTTCTGCCCTTTAATTCTGGGTCAAAAACCTCTAAACAGCTCCCGCCTCACAGTAACTTACTCCTGGCATATGCTTTCGGCTGTTCTTTTTTTTTTTTTTTTTTT